TATTGTTACAATGTGCACTTTTTTCCCACCAGTTCCAGAAGAGTAGCACTTAATGTCTGAGGTGACCCGTTATTCTGGAATCATCCGTGTGTTTTCCTCTTTATTTAATGCAATTCTCTTGTTTTCTCTTTCTTTGTGGTTCTTTTGTTTTTGTTTTGTTGTTGCTAGTCGTCCGAACAAAGGTAGCCCCGCCCACGGAGAGAGCCCTCAGTCTTCTATCGAAGGTTAACCCGAGCCACATGCATGTTTGTGTCTCCGCTGAACTGTTATCCTGGTCTCTGACGATGATGTTCTGTTGCTGTGAAACTCCACATAATTATGACAATAACGATAATTATTATTACGGTATTGACGATCAGCACATCTTTAACACGTATAGCAAATGGTTAGTAAAGGAGTGTATAAATACTGTATGTCCTATAGCTGTGTGTTTGCTGTCGGGAGTGTGGGACAGGTGACGTCCTGCCTGTACGCCACCTGCTGTCCATCTCCTCACGTCAACAAATTTTTAAAGCACCAACTCCAGAGATGAAATTAAGGGGATGATGCTTCACTATTCAGATACTCAGGCTGCTCTGAGATCAGCCTGTAAGCCTTACTATCTGCATCACGAACTGGAGTTCATTTTTAATTTATGGGGTTGTTTTTTTTTGTGTGTTAAGTTTATATATTGTTTCAACTCCTGTATTTATTTATCTGTCTTCTTCTATCTATAGATCTCTGTATTTATTTATTTATTTATTATTACGGCACTCATTCGGAGGGTGGTTTCAACTGGTCCTCGGCTGGATGTCTTTCGGCCGTTTTTAGAAAACAAAGATGACTACTCCCAGTGTCTCTAAATTGATTTTCCTAACATATTTAACACTGCACATTCCAGAATTATTATATATATATATATAAATTATTTTGTCCCTGCTATTGCCTTCTATTCACAGTACATATTCATAAACGTAATATACACATATGCAGCCGTGTAAAGACTGAGTCGACGCAGAGCGAGTTTGGGGTATTGAACCTCATCCTGGCTCTACGACAGACCATAAATCTCCAGTGTGTGGTAACTGCTGGTCCTTTTATTCTCCCCCGTGTGTGTTCTTTATGCTGTGGTGTCTCTAGATTTAGTCGAGCTCTGAGCTGCCTTCAACACCGTACCATCAGTGGGTCAACACTCCGCGTGTTAGAAGAATGGTGTTGTAGTCGTGAAGTGTCCTGATGTTTAAAAAATAAAAAAAAAAGTCAGCATGGTTGTTCAGGTCCATCTTTAAACAAAAAAGTGTGGTTTTGATTTGAACATGGTTCAGCTGTAAACCGTGCAGCAGTAGCAGTGTGTTGAACGCAGCTCAGCCTCAGTCAGGCACTTGTGTGATCGTGGTTAGTTAACGTAAATGTATGAAGATTATAACATAACATATCTGTGAGAAAGATATCAAAATCTATTAAACTTAAATATGCAGCCGGCCTAGACTGTAGTGTATGTGTGTGTTACTCTGTGGGTGTGGGTGTATCTGTGTTCTGTATCTCAGTGTTGTGTGATCTGGGCCAAGAGATGTGAACGTGAATAAAGTCGGTGTGAATGAAGAAGAAAGCCTCCTGTTTTTGTTTTTGTTGTTTTTGACTCAAGATCCTTCACTGTCACTCACTTCATAATCATCAGTGACTGATTTACCTGGTTACTGATGTAACCGGTGTAGCTTCTGCGTTGTGTTTTAAGAAAGCCGTCGTGCTGCTGTCACCAACGCCTTTATTGATCTGACGGAATTTACATAGACCAAAATTAATTTTCCTTCTGGACACCACCCGAGCCCCTACAAAGTACACATAAAATAAATATATTGTATAGAATAAATAAAATGTTGAAAACAAGGACCAACAGAAAATCACTAACCTCTCCCACAAAGTCCGAAGAAAGAGGGAGAGGTTGGGTGTGACTGACTTTTTATATCAAAAATATATACATCAAGTTTCCGCCCAGGGAGGAACAACCCACTTTTGTCTTTTAACCTCTGTTACATTGATATGAAAGTGTCACTCATTACAAGTTGTTCTTGTTGCTGTATTTATTTATTTATTTTTACAAATACTGATGTGAGATATAATAATTTGCACCTGGATTTGTCCTTGTCAGTGTATTTCTAATCCTGTATATATATATATATATATATATATATACTGTATTTAGGTTTAGATAATTTATCTCACGTAAAAACAAAACAAAAATAAAATGGAGATAGTTTAAAATATCCATTAAGGGTGAACAACATTACAAAAAAGAATGTGAAGCTTAATCTCGGAAGTAACTGAAAGGTACTTGAAGGTACAGTTGCTCTGATAATTATTGCAACAGTGAAAATAGCGTAAACATAACTAAATACATGACATGACGTAGCATTTTTAAAATGTAGAATATACAATCCTGTTTAAGGTGTAATATTTAATGACGGCCAACAGGTGGCAATGCTGCTGCATCACCAGTGATCCTCACTAAAGAGTTTTTTTTTTTAACTTAGACCCAGAAAGGAAGAGAGATAGAGAAGTGAGGTAGAGGGAGACAGTCAACATTGAGAGGCAGGAAGGAAAGAAGGAGGTTAAGAGACAACAACAGAGTGAGAGAAGAAAAAAGTAAGAGAAAACTAACAGCGACAGCATTTTAATCTGTCACTCTGCCGAGTAGGAACCTGACCGTCAAATGTGGACCTCTCCTAAATCAGACAGTAAGACAGGTAAGTGTCCTGAACTACTCTGTGATATGAAGACACACTTCTACAAATAAAGTGTTCACTTCTGTGTGTTCTGTCATTTTTGTTTGAACTGTGACAATTACTTCCTTTTTTTAGCCTCTCATTTAGTCTCTCTCACAGCGAATCAAACACCACCAGAGAAGTAAACCACCGGACCTTAACCTACAAGACCACACACTGCAGTACAAGGTAAAGTCACACAGTAGAATGTGATGTACTGTACATGGTATTATTCTATATGTACACACAGCAGTACAGGGTTTGATACTTTAGGTCTATGTTCAGGAAATTTGTTTTTTTGGCTTTGGTAGAACCCTAAATGTATTGCTATTTTTTAACATGCAACGCATTTTAGACTATATGGTTAAAGAAGTGGTTACTACGCCTGTCTTACAGCATAGAGGTCACCAGTTCATGCGTCCAATCCCTGAGTATACTTTTGTGTTTGAGCCTTTTTCTCATGTGTACCTGGGTTTTTTCCCCTGACATTTTGGTTTCTTGCCATAGTCAAAATACAATCACATCAGGTTAAGTTAGTTTCTCGCTCGAAATTAACCAATGATGTGAATGGTACCGTGAATGGTTCTTTTCTGTACACTAGCCGGCCCTCACCTTATGACTGTTGTGGTCCTACAGACCCTTGTCCTCTACAATTTGGTCTGACAAAACCATGAATTTTAACACTGACAGGTGCCTGTGAGTCATAATAGAGGGCAAAAAGTTTCAAAAAAATATGCCGTACTACCAACAAATTTAAAGAGTCGTCTTTCTCATCGGAATAATAAGGGGACTAAGACTTTTTAAATAAGTTAATAAGTTAGTGGGTGTGGTGACGTGACAAGGAATCGCTGTAAGTTGAGGACGTCGTAAACTGAGGACCCCTGGTGTCGCCCTGTCCTGGAAAAAAAATTGGTTGTGTTTATTTGTAAATCAACTGATTTTCGTAATTCGTGTAAATTCAAGCCAGTAATTGACAACATATTGATAAAATATTTAGTAAGTACTGTAGGGTTTTATTGATATTATTTAGTTATTATTATTCTGGTTGAATATGATATCATTAAAGAAAAGTACTTCCTGGACGTCATAAGATCTACCAGGGCATTCTTTCTGCAGCAACACACTGGGTGAAGTAATTCTGATTCTATAAGGTAGTCCTGAGTCAACATGACTTCGTGTTCCACAGGAGTGTGGTTTCTAGTGCAACACTGCCCACAGACTCAGAGGTTACACACACACACAGAAAGTTCTCCTGTCGTTAATCTCACTGTGGATGCTAACGGCTCTGAATACTTTAATATTTATTCACAAGTCATGTCACAGAGTTCAACTCCAAGTGTTGAGCCTCAACCAAAGACCTGATCTCTGTCCTTCCACACCCTGACTTCATTCTTCAGACCATCTCTGTTTGCCCTGGTACTTCAGGAATATCACAGTATTTTGACTTTTTTACTTTGTCTTTGTCTCCATTCCATTGTTATTAAGCAGAGAATACACACCGCAACACATAACCTGGACATAGTACTGCAAAAAGGATGCACAGTTAAAATGTTAAAATTGGATGAATCACAGGGAAGCTCGATTAATTAATTAATTAATTAATTAAGATCACCCACATAATGCAACTACCAGACGCAGTACCCGAAAAATTATACATACTGAAAAAAGGGTTCATACCACAACGGTTAACAATAGCAAACAATTAAAATGTAAAAATATGATTAATCACAGGGGAGCTCGATTTATCACGATTAACCATGATTAATTGAGAGCACCCACATAATGCAACTACCAGACACAGTACTCTATATGTACTGAAACAAATGGTACATCCAAAACAATAAAAGACGGCAAATTAATAAAATTATAAAATCTAATTAATCACCGGGGAGCTCAATTAACCATGATTAATTGATATAACACACATAATGCTACTACCAGACACAGTACTCCAAAAGTATACTTAACCCTTAAAAAAGGCTACATTCCAAATTGATTAACAGTGGAAAATCTGATTAATCACAGTGTAGCTCAAATATTCATTGAGATAAAATAATATGACGAAAAACTGCTGGAACAAACAACAGTAACAGTAGGTAGATTCAGTGTTTTTGTTTTTTATTCGTGTCTTATCCAAATGGTGGAATTATTAAAAATAACTAAAGATATTCTGTAGCCGTCGTAGGTCATTCATGTAAAAACCTCCATCCATTGGTTAATGACATGACCTCATCCATTCCGTTTTTCTCTGTGCAGCCTGGTTGTGTACTGCTGGACCATCAGCGGGCAGTCATCAGCTCCCTGCAGTACTTCAAGGCCGTGGTAGACAGACTGGGTGTGGACACACCTGGAGGGAACAAACAGGTCCTGGACCAGACAGTGGTGGGAAATCTGGTGGGCGGTACCTCCACGGACGTGTTGGAGGCGGTCCAGACTCTGGTCCGTCTAGAGCCTCACCTGAAGACCAGGTAAAAAAATAAAACTAGACCCCTGTGACTAGTTACCACCAGGATTTGACCTGACCTCTGACCCTGATCTTTCCCTTTTATTTTTTTGTTCCGTCTACAGCAAAACTATCTCCACCTGTCTCACCAGTCTGTACCAGTCTCTGGCTCAGCTGATTGGCTGGGCAGACCAGGTTCTCCTGCAGGGGTGCATCTCCCATGAAGATGAGAAGGCGACGGCCGGTGTTACCACAGTGATCAGAGCAGTGTTGGACAAGGTCAAGGTGAGGAGGAACGTGAGGAGGAAAATTACTTTTTATGGTTAAACATTAATACACACTCTATTAATTGGTGTATGTGTGTATAAAGGTCATACCGGAACATTTTAATTGATCCTACGCTTGGGAAATTCTTGTGTTACCAGCAAATTTACCCAGCTGACTTTACCCTTGCAAATATGTGGTTCCTTAGGAAATCAACCTCAGGACCACTTAGCCTGTACAATCCCCTGATGATTAGAATAGATTAAAAAAATGAACCACAATGCTGCCATCTAGTGGCTTTTACTTTGATATACAGCCGTTTTTCCCCAAAACTATTTTTAAGGGCACAGATATTACATTATTATGCAAATATCGGTCGGCCGATATTACTGGACACCCCTATTGCTCCATCCTGTCGAATGTTAAATATTGTTTTTAAATCTCTACTTTTATCCTGTGAATGTTCCATTCCCTGCCATTCTAAGACATCTGTCCTGTCCTCCTGCTCCTATGTCCATCAGGATCTGGTTCGATTTGCCGGAGAGAGACAGGACGGTTGTGTCCCACTGTCCCCTGTCCTGTCAGAACCTGACGTGGAACAATGGGGAGATGTTGATGACCAGGAGTCCTGGAGCTGCAGTAGTCCTGCAGAGGAACTCACATCCCCCCCACCAAAACCTCAAATGCCCTTCTTTCAGCTGCAGTTGGGTCCTGGTCCTGGGTAGGGTCTTAAACACACACACACACACACACATCTGTTTAAATGGTCTTGGGTAGGTGAACACTTAACCACACTGTAACACGTTTGAACATGACTGAGTGGACAAACTAGGCTGTGGTGTGAAACAGGAAGTTGAAGAACATATGCCGTGGCGTCTGACTTCCTACCCGTGTGAACGCACGACAGGAAGTAGAAGCGAAAAAGTTAAAGTGATGCAACACGTTTTGGATTTAAAATTTGGATTTTAAATGGATCTCGACGGAATATCAAATCATAAATTCCATTTCCTGTTTCTCTTCCTTTTTATGTCTCCGTCCATGCCGTATATTACACCGTCTGTGTCCCTCCTGTCTATCTCTGTCTCTATATCTTCCCTCTGTTTTTCTCTATTCCTCTTTCTGTTCCTGTTTTTGTGTCTCTTTCTTTTCCTGCCAGTTCGACGTCTCCGTTTTTGTTTCTATAGCGTCTCGGTGCTTTCCTTCGTGTTTCTGTCTTTGTCCGTCTCTGTGAGTGTGTTCCCTTGAACATTTTCACTTTCAAACATGAATCACTTTATACCATATTTATTCTTCTGTTTTCATTAGTTTTATTCCCTGTTGTCTTGTGTTTTGGTTTCTCCTCCAGACCTCCAGCCCTGCCTCCTAAAAAGCGTTCATCCTCAGGTAAACCCCCCTGCAGGGTTGCCATCGTTGCACCAATGAGACGAGAACCTGAAGCTAACACACAGACACAGGTGATTTATCTGTTCAATACTAGACTTGCATTAAAGGTCCAGCTCGTGTAAATATTAAAAGTGTCTAATTTCAGGAGTGTGACGACGACCCTCTGAAACGACGTTCTTCTTGCACAGACTCATCTGCTGAAGTCATACACTGTGGTAACACACACACACACACACACAGATACACATTTCCAGTCACCAGCCAGGGGTGTTGATGACATCACTTCCTTCGAGCTGACAGAAATAAATGTCAAGTTTGTGTCACTGCCTGTGTGAAGGAGGGTGCTAAACTGCTGCCCCCTGTTGGCGCAATACAGGTAGTGACACTGATACGCACAATGGTCAGAAACTACAAATAAATGGTGTGTGTTTACAGACTCAGAGGTGATTCAGGAGGCAGACCCAGACTACCAGTTCCTCCATACGGACCTCTCCTGCTTTGACGCTCTCCCCCCGATTCTTTTGCCGTTGACAATCCCTCCTGCGCTGCCTGAGAAAAAAAGATGCAACACAGCGGGTAAGAGAAAGAAAATGGAAGTTTCCCTCCCTCCCTCCTTCCTCCCTGCCTCTGCATCTGCCTCTGCACGTGTCTGAAACATTTGTTGTCTCCAAAACTCAGACACGACCAACTCTCAGACCACAAATTATTTCGAGTCTGACCTCACAACCCAAGAACTCAAAGAGTGTACAGATCCCGATGACACTGTAACGTCCCCCCTGTCCCCTGTGAAGTCCCCGCCCCCCCTTCCTGAGAAGAAACGACACAGTGAGTAAAACGCAGAAATCCTCCAATCATCTGAAACCCTGAGTTGTCTGAGTTGTTGTCATCTCCTCCTCTCTGCGTTCAGTCCACCAGTACCTGAAGATCTGCTCGTCGTACAGCGCTCAGTCTACGGCCATGTTCTACCAGACCCCGCAGACCTTCGGTCTCAGTCACAGCCCCAAAGAGCTGCTGGTGGACACCAGTAACCAGCTGATGCAGACACACCTGGAGACCCAGCCGCTGCCCGACTCAGACTCCAACACCCCTCCTGGTTTATCCTGTGCTCCAGCTCTACCACCAAAGAAGAAACAGCAGGTATTAGCGGGCACTAAATCTGAGCCATCTCTGTCCGTGCGCTGCTGAGGGAAGTTCAAAATGACAAATGCATCGTGTTCACCACATGCTTTAACTTAATTTTTACGCTGACCCCTGACCTTTGATGCGTAATTTGATCGTTTGAAATGAAATACAAATTAACAAATTAACAATCATAACCATTTTCCCTTTTGTTTTTATCCAATTAAGTACAGGTCTCTGAGATACTTATTATTATTTATATTTAACGAAATAAAATTTTACAATAAATATCCTGAACATGAAGTGTTGTGTGAAGTTTGTGTATTTTTTCATTTTCAAAATTCATCAAGTGGGCCTGATTAAACATCCTTGTGGGCCGCTTTTGGCCTGTGGGCCTTATGTTTAACATCCTTGGTTTACACAAATATAAACAGCAAATTCATCAAGCGGGCCGGATTAAACATTGTGAGCCGCTTTTGGCTCTCACGAAAATCATTTTGCAATTTTATATACGAAAGTAAAACCTCTCTGAGAAAATAAATAATCCTGGAATCTGAAATTTGTGTGCATTTATACTGTGGGTTGCGGGCCACAAGTGACGCCTTTTATTACACAGGCTCTGTCTGTATTTATGACAGGATCATCACGATCCACCCCAAGACAAGAACCAGGAAGAGGGAGGCAGAGACAGGTGAGACACAAACCCATTAAACTAGAGTTCAACTCACCTGTACCAGGACACACTGGGTGACACTGGTCTCTGCTCTGTAGTCTGCAGGAGGAAAAATGTGACCAGTGGAGCAAAGACAAGCAGGATGACTTGTTACTGACCGACCACCAGGAGATTTTTAACAGAATCACCATGAAGACAAAGGTATTTGATTTCATCATCTGATCGATGTCGTACACATCCTTACTTTTGTTTTCTGACCTTTGAGCCATCACTGTCTCAGGAAGAAGAAGGACCAGATGTAAAGGCTGCCTCCTCTGAGGTCCTGTTGGTTTACGCAACAGAGACTGACAGCAGCACTGGTAAGATCTGATTCAATTTCTTTTTCACCTCCACACTAGTATTTAGTAACATTCAAATTAGGGATGTTCGATATTAACTTTTTGCTGATATTCGATATGCCGATATTGTCCAAACATTTCTGATCAACCTATACCGATATAGCAGGGCAGTGGCGGCCTAGTGGTTAGAGTACAGTAGAGTAGGGCTTTATTCATTAGGGAAGTTAAGTGCCGTGTGGTCACTAAGATGAGTTAAAGCAGTGTTTCTCAATTATTTTTTGCCATGCCCCCCCTAGGAGACAGAAGTATTTATTTATCTGTACAAACTGCTGT